ATATTTTTTTCCTTTGTCATTAAAACAACGGTTCAAATTTTAAATGCAATAACAAGAATGAGCTAAAGTTAGCGGTCCTCGCGCTCACTCCAATCAAGACGAGGCCACCAGATACATCAGTGAATTATTATCCAATAATTAATTCGCTATCAAATGATTTTCACCTTTAATACTTTTACTGTTAAAACAAAGCTTGGAGACAAAATACCGAGTCACATCAAAGGTTATCGAGAAGGAATGAGGCGAACGGGCAAACTTACGAAAGAGTTTAAACAATATCCCAAGCAACCCCGACCACTTTTGTCTCTCTCACAGTGCGGAGAAGCAGGAATTACACCTTATCACAAGGGGCCATCTGGAAAAGCCAGCCGGGTTTGATGAGGAGACACACCCCACCCCACACACGGCAACCAGGCAAACAAGTTTTAAAGAAAATTGCAATATAACATTAATAATAACGTGTTAACCTTAAACGATATTCCATTATAGAACCTTACAGAACCAAGGGATATGGATTCCAACATTCTGGAAACGGACCTCTTAAACTCAGGATGAAAATTATTTTTCTTTCTAATAACTCTATCATATCAATGCGAACCTCGGTAACCCGAGAGGGGTGTCGGGAGGACGTAGTTACAAACACGAGTCTTGGCGAACATGGGACCACCTGGTATTTGAGAAATATAAAGTCCAAAGTATAAAGAGATAGGTACTCCCGACCACCTTTGTCTCTCCCGAAGAGCGCGAGAGAGGAATTTCACGCCAGGGCAAACAGATCGTTATCGCAGGAGCCATCTGTACACACACACGAACTCACACACACAGATCCCACCCCCCCCCCCCCCTTTTCCACTGCGCAGAGAGAATTGTCTTTGAATATAACGGTCAGCCGCATTTTCAAAAGTCAGTGAAGTTAAGTCAAGAGTCAAGACAGATCAGCGAGTCAAGACGTCCACAGGACGAGCAGTCGCATGGAGCGGCTGGCTCCGAGCCTCGCTGAGTAGCGAGGATCGCATGAGTCGCGATGTATCAACAAAAGTGAGTCATACAGCAGTGGAGGAAACCTGCTGTCAGCGAACCAGCACGGGCGCGTTCGCACACTTCAACAGAGAGAGCACGTGCGACTCAACTCACTCAGCAGAAGAAAAACTTGACCTGTCGCCCGCGAGCGCAGCGTCAGATACTACAGCAGCGGAAAGAGCGCGCACCGGCGCAGCTCATCCAGCAGTGGAGGAAACTGCTGTCAGCGAATCAGCACGGGCGCGTTCGCGCATCTTCAAGGAGAAAGAGCGCGGCCAGCAACGCCAAGCAAGAGCGTGCAGCAGCTCGGCCAGCAGTGGAGAGAAACTGCTATCAGCGAACCAGCACGGGCGCGTTCGCGCATCTTCAAGGAGAGGGAGCGCGCGCCACCAGCGTGCCATCAGCACCAGCATCAGCACCAGCGCGTGCCAACAGCGCGCCACCAGCGTGCCACCAGCACCAGCGCGTGCCAACAGCGTGCCACCAGCGTGCTACAGCGCGCAACTTCGCGTCACCAGGGCTGAGGGGGAAGCGGGCCCGCACTCAACACCCATCGGCGCGACGACGGCGAGCGTCGTGCTGACTCATCCAGCCAGCGGTGGACAGAAACTGGCAGTCGTTCGTATGCCCCTCCCCCACACTCCCTCCTCACTCCCCCACCGCTACACAACGAACAAACATTTTTTTGACAAGGAAATCAACCTAGGCGTTTGCTCAACGCAAGAAATCAACAACCCTCCCATTAAACATACAAGACTCATGATAACTGCGTCAACTATTAGCTTATAACGAAAAACATCGCCACCCATTGAGCTACGTTGATGAGGCAATCAGAATTATTTCAGTCGAACGCTTTAATTGCATAATCGTTGATGAATCAATGAACGAACATCGCCGTGGTACTGTGCTGACGATTTCAAGCATAATAATTTCGCATATCAGAATGTGTTAAGGATTGGATACGAATCAAAGACCGAGTGCCGTGTTGTGTAATCATTCAAGAATACGAGTTTGCATATTATAAGGTTAAGGTTTTGATAGAATAGTTCGCTTGTTTTTAATCTCTCTCTCAACAACCGATCGATTGCGTTACGCGTCGGGAATTAACCACAGGTGCCGCTATCGAGGTGAAACAACGCAATCGTGATGGTATCATGTTAACGCTGTGTTGAAATTCCAACATCCCGAGATTGAGTTTTCATATTATCCAAAAATTTAAGTTAGCTAGAAAATAAAATTGATCAAAGCAGAAGGTTTGTGTGTGATTCTTCCTGAAATTCTGCATAATATTGTTCTGCGTATGAGATCTGAATCCTGGGGACCTATCATAAGCACACTATCACCACACATAATCCATAACACACATAATTCATAATGTTCAATCGAGAGTAATCGTATCCTTATCGATAATACGGAATTAAAGAGCAGAGTCGAATCGACTCTCTCTCTCATTCACGCTCACAACGCCTGCGTCACTGCATACGATTAATTGCGTTATTCCAATTCATAACACAATCCTCGTCACCGAGGCTCGACCTGATAATTCATAACGACCTGCATTATCATAACCACGCCCACTCGCATAAATTAATATGATTATCTCTCGAATCAGCATAATTTATGTGCATAATTACACTGATTAACATAATTTCGGAAAAATTATGCAAATCTCAAATTTCATTTAATTTTAATTATTTTCAGCAATTTTCATAACACCTATATATACAACAAAGGGTAAAAAAACAATTATCATATTTTGTTACTGGCAAATGAGGTTTCCAACGGTGTAAAAAAATATATCGCCACATTTCGATCGCAACGCGAGCAAGCAAATCGTCGTCAGGATAAGAGGAGTGGGGGGAATCTGCCGTGCCGCTGTGCTTGGGGATTGCTGCGTTGCATTAAGCGGCGAGCTCAAAATCATTCGCCCACGAAAGCCTCTTTCTTCTTCATGTATGTCTCTGTGCTTGGGAAGTCGGTGGCAATATCCCAGCCGTGTCCATGTGGCGTTCCACGCCATCGTCAAATACCACATACACACCATTCAACTTCCACGTCAACTGCCTCAGACGCAAGCATCGCGTTGTTGTTTATTAAAGTAGATTCCGCTTACAACATTGGGCCATATTGTTAGCTCTTTCGGTAAAGTCACGTTGAAGGGAAACAATAAAATAATAAAATATATATAAAACAATCTTTTATTGTTATTATTGATGGAACCAGTGCAGATCAAGATGTTTATTGTTTCCCTTCAACGTGACTTTACCGAAAGAGCTAAGAATATGAATTACTGCAGTCACGAAAGCTTTAAATCAAAATTCAACATTGGGCCAATTGAGATGATTTTTTTTTTCACTTGAAAGGAAACCGCAATGCCCGGAGAAAGCCCCGACGCACAAGGGGAGAATCCTTAATCGCTAAACTTGTTAACCTACTTGCTGTACCGCCTCCAAATGGCACATCGCTTTCCATGTGGTGCACTAGAAACTCGGAGCAGAATTTCTTTAATACAATATTTTAATGTATTCAGAGTTGGCGATCTACAATAAAAAAAATTACTCTTAAAAACATGTTATGTTACTTGCACTGTTAAAAATAGTTGTCGTTAATTCCCCCATTCGAACCAGCACTGAGCAGCTCTCTGTCTCGGTAAACAATGGAGGTGGAATAATTTAATAACGTAGTTTTAATGTCATCAGGCCTGGAAGGGACGATGTTCTAAATAAATGTACAACCTTCTCATTGCGAGTCAAGAGCGAATAACCGCAGCGATACCCAAAAGATCACTGCACCAGGATCTGTGGCTTTCTCCATTTGCCAACGCCAGGCAGATCACACTGCCCTTAGACAAAGCGTGAGGTTGCCTTGTTACGCCTCTTGAGCAGTGTGTGCGCGCCTATGTGGGGTAGCTGCTGGCGCAGCGGGTTATCGCACTCTGCTACGAACCCGGCGACCCGAGTTCAATTCCCACTCGTGAGCAAAAAACCTTGGCGGATATCTGACGGGTCTTGAAGTCGACTCAGCCTCAAAGAAGTGCCCGCTACAATGTGTAAACATCACCACTGGGGTGACATTGAAGGAGGCCCGGGCGTGTCGCTGGCCCACCCACCCCCTCACGTGCCATGCCAGGCCTTCATTAGGCGGTCGTGAGCACCGCTTGCCCCAAACGTCTATTGTGGCTATATGGGGGATCTTAGCAATGCATATGTGCCAACGCCTGCCTCCGTTGGGATGGGGGTGGGTGGGGGGTTGTGGTGCGTTTCATCACCTCCGTGTCGGCGAACTCGCAGTACTGCAGGTTGGCGGAATGGGAGAGGGTGCGCACACATGCGCACGTGTCGCCGGTCGAGTCCTCGCGCACGCAGTCTGGGAAGCGGTGCTGGGAATGGAACCGTGCAACATTACCGCGAGATGAACGCCTGCGACTGCCAAGATAGTGCAAAATACGTCTCCCCCTGCCTCGTAGCCTCACATCCATTCATTCTCTAAAGGGAGGTCTGATGACCAAATAGTTCAAGGTTAAGAGGTACGGCACCTTATAATGTTTACTTCCTCGTGCTAGACCTCGCAGCTGTCGCGCGGCGAGCACGTGGTGCGCGTTCATTTTCATTGAATCGGCAAATCATTCAATAAATTAATTGTTAAACCACGTTTACAAAAATGTATATTGATCGCCTTCAAAATGACACCCCACATGAATTTAATCATTTTTAAGTTTTTGTGCCAGTTAAAAGGGTAAAACCTATTACTATATCTTGTTACTGGCAAAGGAGGTCTCATAATGTAATTGCTCACCCCGAGCCCTCAATACTCTGATAGTGCGCTGTTTTTGAGTTGTACGCCTTTTGGCGTCTTCTGGTCCAACACCAGTGGAGACTAGGCTCTAAGAAAAGCCGTCTCGGGTGTGGACCAATCAAATTCAAGGACAGTGCCAATATTATTATCAGAGTTGTCTCTTTTGTTTGCATTTTGACTGCTTGTGTTGTGGTTATTGCAAACATGATGCCTTGAATAAAGGTGTCAGTTTTTGTGCCTGTTAAAAGGGTAAAACCTATTACTACATTTTTAAGTTGTCCAATTTGTGAAAATGCCCACCACAACACTGCCTTGCGTTTGCCGTAACTAGACAAGGCGACATTTTTTTCACAAGTAAATACGTCATGGGCATGAGCCCTAAAACGTACGGCGTGTGGCTGGGAGAAAGAAAATCTCACGAGGGACAACAACAACAACATCGCACCACTCACTTCAGCCTCGCCTCCCCTTTCGTCCTGTGCACCTTTCTCTCTTCTCGTTCCGCCGCCGTCGCCGCCGGATACTTCGTCATGGAACTGCGCGGCGGGGTTGTCAAGGCCCGGACGGTCGCGCTCCGAGGGCGACAGAAGCGGCTCGGAGTCGCCGGCATCGGAGGGGCGTGCGGCGTGACGCCGGATTGCGTCTGCGGGGTCCGCCTGCTTTCTCCTGGACTTGAACCCGCACGGGCGGTTTCTCCTCGCCTGCCGCCGGTCTCTCGGCCTCCGCTCAAGCGGGCCGCCGCCGTCGGCACCGTCTCCGTTCGGCCCCGCCGCTTTGGCACGATCCAACGGCTTCGCCATCGACTGCATCTCGCCACCCTGCACTGGCGGAAGCTTGGTTGACTCCGAGTCCGCCGGTGACGTCACGGGAGCTTTCGGAGGGCCCTGAGGTCTCACGGGTGCCTTGCGGACGCTGCCGTTTATCTTCTCGAGAAGTTTGGGCTCCGATTTGTTTACCTGCGGCCTCTCCATAACGGGTTTGGGTTTCGGAGGAGGGAGCGACTTCTTGCGTGTCCTCTCGATGTCTTGGCTCGTTATGTTGGCGCACGTGAGTGGATTCATATTCCCCCCCGCATCCGTGGATTTTACACGGGGCGTGGTGCTTGGAATAAGCTGAGCTTCATCGCTCGTTGTGCCATACCGAGGCTGGCCCTCGTCATCGTCGCTCTCGGGTGGCGATGTCAATGACGGCAATGACACCTGCCGCGGCGTTTCGTTGCGCGATTCCAAAGTGCGGCCACTCTTGTAGTCGTCTTCAACCACAGCCTTCGTCTCCAAAACTTTGGTGAAAAACGTCTTCAGATATTCCTTCTGTCGGTGAAAATGCGGCTGTGCGGGTGCGGCAATGGACTCAGCTCCGATCTCATTCGCAATACGGCTGCCCTTGGGGAAAAGCTCTCTTGCCAGCGCATTTTCCAGAAACTCTGCGGAGCTGTCAGTGATGGCCACGAGCAGAACTGGAATGGCCTCTGTTACGTCGGAGAGGAATGCTCGAAGCATTGCAAAGGAAGCTTTTCTTTTGGCAGAATACACCAAAACGTAGCCATGGGTGAGCTCTTCTCGCTTCAGCATTGCTGCGTGGTAAGAGATGACGGTAACCTTGATCCTTCTGCTCTGCATTCCCACAGACATTTCTAGATTCATGCAGTCGTTGCCAGCAGGATGCCCACTGCTGCAGAATTCCATAAAGGGCGTTAGGACCGTGCCAATGTTGAAAGGGTCTCCACACATCAGACACATGGTGATGTTCACGTCGGGCGCGCCAGACTCTGGGCTGCTGAATTGGTCGGGCAGAAGGGTCGTGTTCTGGCAAGCATTTACGATCTGACTCAGGGCACATTTGATCTGTGTTTCATGGAATTGTTTTGGAGATGACATCTCAGAAGAGCAATCGATAAAAGAGACTTGTAGCTTGTCGGCCGCATGCTGGGCTTGCTGTCGTAGCAAAGGCAGCTTTCTGTCTGTAACGTCCTTCTGATTTGCCAGCATCAAAGCAACAGGAATGCAGCTCGAGAGGCCATCCTTCTTTATGAAGGACGCACAAGAATTCACTCTTCCTAGGCTGTCCACGATGTAATTTAACGATTTCAATGAGTTGAAAGCACACAGACATCCGCTGGGCTGAGAAACGTTACTCTGCATGATGTTTGCAAAGCCCGTCACATCTCCATCCATTGCTTTCAGTTCCAACTCATAAACCTTCCCATTCACCGTAAACTCATTTCCGGCCGATTGCTGTTTGATTTCGCTGCAAAGTTTGCTTGCGAGGCCATCTCTACCGAATATTATGACATCAAATGCATCCGCACTGTCAAAATTGATTAAAGATTCCGAACGTTTGCTTACCAATTTGGGAATAGCACTTGAGAGAAGCAGCGGAATTTGCAGGTCAGTGCACTTATCTTTACTGAAGCAAGACTCCCTGGTTGGGTGACGAACAGAGAACACGTGTTTCAGGATCAGCGCATCTCTCAAGGCAGGCGCCCACTTGAGCGCCTCGTGGCGACCGTCACGTTCCAGGTCCTGGTGAATCTCCGCTATCTCGTCGCGGTCAAACGCTTCGTTTCTGTCCACGCCGGCGAACGTTTCCGAGCGCTCGAGGAGCAGCTCCTGGTATTCGTCTTTCGCTTCATCCGTCATCTTGCCTCGGCACTCTCGGTAGATTGAAACGCGCCCTCGCCCGCACGGCGTCCGCGAGCCCTCCTCGTCGATGAGGAACGACCGTGCGTCATCCCACGGCCTCCCTGGCAACACCTCGCCAGAATTCTCCAACGTGTCGCGAAGGGCTCCCTTCATTTCCTCCTTCTTCCTCAGCACCTGCAATTTCCGCACGTGGGCTTGGAAATGCGAAGGGCCGAACTCTCGCAAAAACGCAACGGGGACACGCCCGTCGGCGACGGCGTTGACGCGACCGCTGTCGGTCCAAACCCCATCGGACAGCTCGACAAACCACAATCCAAACTCTGGTTTCTTCCGCAAGAGCAGCAAAGCCTCGTTCCAGCTGAGGGATTCAATGTCCGTGATGTCAGGGACCAATGAGTCAAAAGCGTCGGGCAGAGAGCTGATGTATTGTGCCACCTTTCCTTCGATATGTGCAGCCTTCAAACGCGTGATGTGTTCTCGAAAGTAACTTTCAGCCCTGTTAGCACCCAGCAAGTCCACAAGCTGGACATACTCCGGGCAGCCATCCAGTTGCTTGCCGGTCACCTGCCAGGTCACGCGGTAGTCTGTGACAATTTTTGTCAACCGAGAATTATAATCCTTAATGGCACTTTGGTGGTGTTCCTTGACTTGCTTGGCGGCCTTCTCAAACGGCACCAACTTTGGCTTTCCTTTCGGCTTGTCAATCATCTGCGCAAGGGTCAGAAATGCTGCCGACACATTCACATTGTCACTTGCTGACGTCTCGACTATCGGCAGGCGAACTTTTTTCCCAGAGGCAAACGCTCGAAGTTCCTTCAGGTGCTGCTCATCCAACACGTCACACTTTGTGGCAACCAACAAAATGGGCTTCTTTAATTTCACAAGTTGCGACACCAACTCCTCCAGAAACCTCAACTGATCTCGCAGCGTTCTCTGCGCGGAAACGCTGACATCGAAGCACACCAAGAAGCCGTCAATGTGCAGCTTACCGTCGGGCATTGGATACTGCTCAAAATCTTGCTCGACTCCCAGTTGGTCAGTGCAAATGTACATGAGCTTTTCGGCCGAGGCGAGCCTGGTGGCGGCCGCGCGTTTGACGTAATGCCGGGAGTCGGAGCTCCTGTGTGGCTGGAAAGTGGCGTCGTCAACAAATTCGGTTTGTTCGACAACGTTGAAGGCGTACTCTCGTCCCCCGTCAGCGGTGCGCGTTGCCCCGCCCCAGTAAAGGTAGTGGTCGTTATTCACGACCCGACCGCCGAAATCAACTTGGCTCAGTATCGAAGTGTGTTCCGTGTGATAGTCGTCTGCTCTTGGCCTTGAGAACCTGTTGCTGAGGCACGACTTGCCTACTCCACAGCTTCCCTTCTCCTTCTCGGTCCCGGAAAGACCGACGACACTGATATTGTAGGTCCGCGTTTCCTTGCTGCCTTGACATCGCCGCGGTGCATGTGACATCGCACCGCTATTGCACGAGAACAAGGGCAGTTACGGTTCCGTGCGACACGTCGTGATGATTACTTTGGCTCTTTCGTTGCACTTGCAAACCAATATTTTCCCACGTGACTGGCGGTAATAGAAATTACTTGAACAAAAAAAATGTTCACCGACAACGAGGTCCTTTAAATGTTTTTTTTTTTTTCCAGATGAACAATTGTTTCTGAAAGACACAAAAAAACCACAGAGGACATTTAAAATATTTTTAAAAAAGAACGTTCCGCTTGCATTGAGAGATTAGTTATTTAACGCGGTGAAATTTAATGGAAATTAAACACGATTGTCACAATGATTATGTGACGGCAATGTTTAAAATACACCGATGATGTGCCGAGGTGAGCCCAGGAAAAATAAAACGTTGTTCTCAAACAAGCACATGTAAATCTGTGAGTACAGGCAGGGAGATGTCTGATCGCCTCATACCGGCACCAATAAATTCCCAGTTGGGACATCACAGTTGACGCTCTAACGGTAGACGTCACTACAAGACGTCAAACAAGCCTTTAGCAGGATTACAATGGTTTGATTTAAAGCTTTCGTGACTGCAGTAATTCATATTCTTAGCTCTTTCGGTAAAGGCACGTTGAAGGGAAACAATAAAATAATAAAATATATATAAAACAATAAAAATTATCACACCTGATGACGACCGTTTGTGTTATGGTCGAAACGTCGTGATAATTTTTATTGTTTTGTATATATTTTATTATTTTATTGTTTCCCTTCAACGTGACTTTACCGAAAGAGCTAAGAATAAGGATCACAATGGTTTTGTAACGTGGAACCGCACGTGAGGTAAATCGTACATCAGGATTTTAACAGAACTTTATTTTAAAACGCGCGCGCGTGTGCTAAGCCACGTGGCCTTCGTGCTAAGCCACGTGACCTTCGTGCTAAGCCACGTGACCTTCGTGCTAAGCCACGTGACCTTCGTGCTAAGCCACGTGACCTTCGTGCTGAGCCACGTGACCTTCGTGCTAAGCCACGTGGCCTTCGTGCTAAGCCACGTGACCTTCGTGCTAAGCCACGTGACCTTCGGTGGGCAGGGCTGCCTGGGAAATTAGCGGTGATGTTATTTGGGGTGGTACGGCACAAACGAACGCTCACCAAACAAAAAATATAACGAAATAAAATAAAAAAGGCCAAACATGTTTAGAACAAACCACCCCACCCCACCCTGCCTATCAGAGTTTCCCTGAAGAAGAAGAAACCGCTGTGGATACGTCTAAGAAGCTTGCGTTCTGCACATCGGCACAAATGCTGGCGTTATGTGGCAAGGCCCCTATCGCTGTCTGTGGGCTGACTTGCGTGTCGCTCTCTGCGTTGTTGACAGACAAGGACCCCTTGCTCACGCACGGTCAAGTTAAACAAATTCAATACGTGTCCAATGCAAAACATTTGGTGGATTATGAGCCGGGAAATCGCCTTTTGGTCAAACCTAAAGCACGGTAGAACAATGGTCCCACGATCAACGTCCTCATTGAGAAAAAAACACGAGTCAAAATGTATCACTTTAAAACAAGCTGCACTGGTCAAGTTTGTAAACAGTTGTCTTGGCAAATTTATTTAATTATTAACTTATTAATTAACTTAACCCCCCTCCTCCCTCGCGTGTGACCCTCACGTGACCCCCCCCCTCACGTGACCCCCCCTCCCCCCGCAGCCGGGGGTTGAGCAGACCTGGCGAGTAAACTCAACACGCAGCAGTAGCACCAGCAGTAGACACAACACGCAGCAGTAGACACAACACGCAGCAGTAGACACAACACGTAGTAGTAGACACAACACACAGCAGCAGCAGTAGACACAACACGTAGCAGTAGCAGCAGCAGTAGACACAACACGCAGCAGTAGACACAACACGCAGCAGTAGCAGCAGCAGTAGACACAACACACAGCAGCAGTAGACACAACACGCAGTAGCAGCAGCAGTAGACTCAACACGCAGCAGCAGCAGCAGTAGACACAACACGCAGCAGTAGACACAACACACAGCAGTAGACACAACACGCAGCAGTAGACACAACACGCAGCAGTAGCAGCAGCAGTAGACACAACACGCAGCAGTAGACACAACACGCAGCAGCAGCAGCAGTAGACACAACACGCAGCAGCAGCAGTAGACACAACACGCAGCAGTAGACACAACACGCAGCAGCAGCAGCAGTAGACACAACACGCAGCAGCAGCAGTAGACACAACACGCAGCAGTAGACACAACACGCAGCAGTAGCAGCAGTAGACTCAACACGCAGCAGCAGCAGCAGCAGTAGACACAACACGCAGCAGCAGTAGACACAACACGCAGCAGTAGACTCAACACGCAGCAGTAGCAGCAGCAGTAGACACAACACGCAGCAGTAGACACAACACGCAGCAGCAGGAGCAGGAGGAGCAGGAGCAGCAGCAGGAGGAGGTCACCTCAAGTGAATGTTTGACCACGAGGAGGCTGCTGCTGCTGTTTGTGAGGCGCGCGGTCACCGCCGCTAGGCCGAGATTTCTTCGCGCTGCACTTCCGGGTTGGCCCCGTTGGATCCCCGCCCACGATGGGCGCCGCGATTGGTCAGAATTCCCGACCCTCTTCGTCACCGTGGTGACGCGGCCCGTGTCACGTGGTTAAGGTTCATGAACTCTGCCGTTAGTGACGTTGATGAATTTTGTGGTTCCACCTTCAAGATATTTACATCACACTTTGTGTTTATTTGTTTAAATGTCTTCCCTGGCCGTGCAAATAATCAGAAAAACCATTATTAAGTTGTATGTTTTGTAAATTTCGTCCAATTATCGTGTTCAATTGTTCATTTTTCACCTCTATTAATGAGGTGACACACAGTATACACAGTGTACACACACAGTGTATACACACAGTATACACACAGTACACACACACACAGTACACACAGTGTACACACACACAGTGTATATACACGGTGTACACACACACAGTGTATACACACAGTACAAACAGCGTACACACACAGTGTACACACACACAGTACACACAGTGTACACACACACAGTGTATATACACGGTGTACAAACAAAGTGTACACACACAGTATATACACAGTATACACATAGTACACACACACACAGTGTACACACACTGTACACACACAGTGTACACACACAAAGTACACACACACAGTGTACACACACACAGTGTACACACACACAGTACACACACAGTATATACACAGCGTACACACACACAGTACACACAGTGTACACACACACAATACACAGTGTACACACACAGTGTATATACACGGTGTACACACACACAGTGTATACACACAGTATACACACAGTACACACAGCGTACACACACACAGTACACACACACAGTGTACACACACACAGTGTACACACACACAGTACACACAGTGTACACACACACAGTGTATATACACGGTGTACACACACACAGTGTACACACACAGTATATACACACACAGTACACACACAGTGTACACACACTGTACACACACAGTGTACACACACAAAGTACACACACACAGTGTACACACACACAGTGTACACACACACAGTACACACACAGTATATACACAGTGTACACACACACAGTACACAGTGTACACACACACAGTGTACGCACACACAGTACACACACAGTGTACACACACACAGTATACACACACAGTATACACACACACAGTGTACACACAGACACACAGTACACACACAGTGTACACACACACACACAGTGTACACACAGTAGACACAGTGTACACACACAGTATAGACACACACAGTACACACACAGTGCACACACAGTATACACACAGTGTACACACACACACAGTGTACACACACACACAGTACACACACACAGTACACACACAGTGTACACACACAGTATACACACACAGTGTACACACACACAGTGTACACTCAGACAGTGTACACACACAGTGCACACACAGTGTACACACACACAGTACACACACACAGTACACACACACAGTATACACACAGTATACACACACAGTGTACACACACACAGTATACACACAGTGTACACACACAGTACACACACAGTGTACACACACAGTATACACACACAGGGTACACACATAGTGTACACACACACAGTACACACACACAGTGTACACACACACACAGTGTACACACACACAGTATACACACACAGTGCACACACACAGTGTACACACACAGTGTACACTCACAGTGTACACACACAGTACACACACACAGTGTACACACACAGTACACACACAGTATACACAGTATATAGACAGTGTACACACACACAGTATACACGCACAGTACACACACACAGTACACACACAGTATACACACACAGTATACACACAGTGTACACACACACAGTATACACACACAGCACACACACACAGTGTACACACACAGTATACACACAGGGTACACACATAGTGTACACACACACAGTACACACACCCAGTGTACACACACACACAGTGTACACACACACAGTATACACACACAGTATACACACACACAGTGCACACACACACACAGTGTAGACACAGTGTACACACACACACACACAGTGACACACACAGTGTACACACAGTGACACAGTGTACACACACAGTGTAGATACACAGTGTACACACACACACAGTGACACACACAGTGACACAGTGACACAACAACAACCGCCATTCGCCACTAAGTGGCGGTGAAGTCACCACGACGCTTGTGCCAGGCACAGTGACACACACAGCGACACAGTGACACACACAGTGACACAGTGACACACACAGCGACACACAGTGACACACACAGTGACACACACAGCGAGACACAGTGACACACACAGTGTATACACACAGTGTATACAAACAGTGTACACACACAGTGTACACACACACACAGTGTACATACACAGTGTGCACACAGTGTACACAAACAGTGTACACACACAGTGTATACGC